AATATCACCAAGACGCAAGCCCTAGGGATGGGACTCAATGCGGACCTGTTGGGCAGGTTACAGACGGCATTCCCACTGGACTGGAGAAACGATTATTTGACGTTCCTGGGACTTAAACTCTCCAAAAACCCGGCACACCTTTTTAAACTAAACTACGAGCGCATACAAACAGAAATCATAGACACCATACAAAAGTGGAGAGGTAAATTTCTATCGTGGACAGGCCGCATAGCAGCGGTAAAGATGACACTCATACCTAAAATCCAGTATCTATTTCGAACACTACAAATACCCATCCCGAAACAGTTTCTAAAAAGCGTGCAACACACACTAAACACATTCGTCTGGGAAGGGAAAAAGGTACGAGTAGCAGCAGGAACACTACACCAAACAGTGAGCAAAGGTGGGCTGGGTCTGCCAAACCTAACAACGTATTGTAGGGCAGCTTACCTACACAACATAGCCCAAATTAACCGTCCAGCCCAAGCCCCGCAGTGGGTAGCAATAGAGTCCCACTGGGCCCCACAACATGACCTCAGGGCGGTACTATGGCTACAGAAATGTCCAAAACCCATACGAGAGAACCTGCTACCCAGCACACAGACCCTGATGAGGGTGTGGAACACAACGAGGACCAAATTGGTGTCAAACCCCAAGTTGCCCTTGGCCACACCAATACAAACAATAGGCATGGAAATACCTACATTCCGCGGAGACACCTGGAAGAGAGGGGGAATACACCACATATACCAGGTCATTGACAGAGGCAAACTGAAAACACTACCAGACATACAAACAGAATATACACTGCCCACCACAATCACATTTTCCTACCTGCAGCTCAAATCATATATAACAGGCAAACTAAACAAACAACCGGGTATAGAAGATGAAACACCCATGACAGTTTTTGAACAACAATGTGTAGGAATAGCACCACTAAAGAAATCAATGTCATGGGGATACCATAAGTTAACCTTGACACAAACGCACACACTAGAACAGATCAAGAACGACTGGCACAGGGAAATAGGTCAGATATTCTCAAGGGAAATCCGGGAGAGGTCCTACTCGGTCCACAGAGGACTAACAGCGTGCGCATCACATTTGGAACTGCAGCGTAAAATTATGTACCGATGGTACTTCGTGCCCGCAAAACTCCACGCAATATGGCCACACACAAGCAACAGGTGCTGGAGGTGTGGGGGGGAGGTAGGCACGATGCTCCACATCTGGTGGTCCTGTAACAAAATAAGCCCATTTTGGGAAGCGGTGTCCACACTGTTGAACAACATAACGCATAGTATAAGGGTGGATACACCACAAGAATGTCTACTTTTCATGCTACCAACCAACATCCCAAAACACCTTAAAATCATTATATACCACACACTAATATCAGCAAACTTGCTGATATCTAGGTTATGGAAACAAACCACAACACCATCAATAGCCGAGCTGATGAGGCAAATGGACCTTAACTGGTCTTACGAATTAATGGCAACGACACAATTCGGAACCCGCCCGAGCATAAGGGAAGCCCATGAGACGTGGGAAAAAGGCAAAAAACACACAAATGGGTACCAAAACACAATACCAGCCCCCTCGCCCCCCCCGTCCCCCTTCAGCCCATCCCGGCCCGAGGAATGCTGAACGTACCACACAGTAAAGGATACATAGCGAAGTATCGAGCACCAACATGCAAACACAGGAGAAAAAAAAAAAAAAAGTATAACCGCAACCTAATAGACAGGTACAAACACCACCGGGAAACGAGGCAAATAGTATTCTGGCCATGTAAGCAACAAAGTACCTTCACCCAAACAGACTCTGGTACCCGAAACTAAAACAGACCGAAACAAAGGGTAAAACTGACAACAAAAAACATGAAGGGGCTATTTGACCCATCAAAAATGTGTGAAAGGTGTAATAAAGCTAACAAACCAATCGCTGTAACATGCAACTTGTACCCTGCCCCCCCCCTTTCTTTTCTGTACCCCCCTACCCCACCCATACTGTTTTGTGATATGTGAATGACCAACCAAAAACACAAATAAACTTCAAGTTATAAAAAAAAACAAAAAAACTTCAAAGTTAGAAAAAAACTGAATGGCTGTGTCTCAAATGTGCCCTTCAATGTCCACATATACCTGGGCAAAGGTACATTATACAGGGAAGTATTATACAGTCGTAACACACATAAGGTTTGCAAACTTAACTGCGCAAACTCACTTGGTGTGTCAAAAAGGCAAGCTAGCGGAAAAATTATCCCACGCTAAGGTTCAAAATATGCCTTTTGAATTGCCCTGGGATGTCTTCTTTAAGGAAAGGTATGCCTTTATGGTGTAGTTGTAATATGTAGCCTGCTCAAGTGCTCCAAAGTGGGATATGAACGCATCAAAACTAGAGTTGAGCGTTCGTACCGAACATTACGGTTTTTGGACCCCGGACCCGAACACGGACATATCACTGTATGTTCGGGTTGGAGTTCGGTGTTCGGTGATTTAATGGTGTGTTTTCAAAGGCTGCAGTGCAGCCGATCAACAAGCGTTTAACGCGTGTGCCCTTAGAAGTCATCACAGCCATGCCTACTAATGGCCTGGCTGTGATTGGCCAGTGCAGCATGTGACCCAGCCTCTATTTATAATCTGGAGTCGCATAGCGCTGCACGCACATGAGGTCTTATTAGTGTGGGGAGAGGATGCTGCCGCTGATAGGGACAGCTTAGGAAATAATTCTGCAAACTAGTACATTAGTGGGGTGCACTTCATATCTGAGAGTCAAATAGAAGTTTCAAATACCGCGGTTACATCAGAGTTTTAAAAAGTTAATTTATTTGGGTGCTAAATAGTACATTAGTGGGATAGTACATTAGTGGGGTGCACTTCATATCTGAGAGTCAAATAGAATCGTCAAATACTGCTGTCACATTGCAGTTTTAAAATGTAAAATTATTTGGGTGCTAAACTGCTAAATAGTATTTTAGTAGGGTGCACTTCATATGTGAGAGAGTCAAATAGAAGTGCTTACAGCGCAGTGGTAAACATTCTTATTTTCGGGGTGCTAATCTGCTAAATAGTACATTTTGAGGCGAGCACTTCATATCTTAGAGTCAAATAGAAGCGTCTAATAGTGTGCACTTCATATGTGAGAGTCAAATAGAAGTGCTTACAGCGCAGTGGTAAACATTCTTATTTTCGGGATGCTAATCTGCTAAATAGTACATTTTGAGGCGAGCACTTCATATCTGAGAGTCAAATAGAAGCGTCTAATAGTGTGCATACAGCGCAGTTGTAAAAATTCTAATTGTTTTGCTGCTAATCTGCTAAATAGTACATTTTGGGGCCTGCTCTTCATATCCACAAGTCAGGCTACAACAAAATTAAACAAGTTTTAAAATATGTATGGGCCAACCAGTGGCTGTAAAAACAAAGTTTTACTGGTTACAGTCATGACTACACACTCAGGACCTTCATGTAGTGTGTTCTTTTAAAAAAAGATCATACAGCATCCTTTCATGTGCTTTTCAGATGTCATATGGTTAATTACCAATTTTTGTTTAGCCTGATTTTAAAAAAAAAAGTGAAAAATAAGTGTTATTGTGATCGCTTCATATACAGAAGCATTAATATACGTTTCTATATTGTGTAAAGACACAACTACAAAGTTAAAAACCAAACACCAAAACAACGTGCCAGACAATCTTCCTGTGCATGGCTAGTGTGATACAATAAGTCTACATCTTAAAAATGCAATAACCCACAGAAGATGGGCGAGAATTTTGTTTGCAAATTGGACTTTGATTCGAATTTACTACATCGGTCACTTGTAATATTGTTTCACATCTACAACACTAGTTACACAGATCTAAGTGATAGAAAACAGATTGATATTTTCTACACTAGAAACTACCAGATAACAAGCTGCAATATTTAAACCAGTTATCAATAGCTAAGAGGTACTTAAACAATATTGTAATTCTGGGACAATACCCTCACAAGTCAAACTGAGAGGTCAGTTTATAGGGAAAACTGTTGCCTGGATACAATTCTAAAACAATTTCCATATGTCCTTTGCAGACTTTACATGCTGGAAAAACACAAGTGCCAACTGCTGTGGCTTTCTGCAGTGTGCATACCGGCAAGGAGGGCAGGGTTGAGGAGTGGGTGGAAGATGATGTGGAGGATGATGAGGTCCTAGACCTCACATGGAATCAAGGTCATGCGAGTGACGTGTGCAGTTTGGAGGAAGAGGCGCTGATCGCACAGAGGCACCAGCAAAGCATAAGCGTGAGCAGGTTGCAAAAGCAGAGCGGCCATCCCCTAGCGCTCGTTGGCATGTATTCGCTCGAGAATTACCAGTTATCCAAGTGATACATGTAGCGATCAAAGGATCCATAATAGAGTTGAGCGAACCCGAACTGCAAAGTTCTGGTTTGTCCCAGATTTAATGATCCATTCGTAGTTTCACAGTCAGGTGGGCAGTTCGGTGTCCAGGGCCCAGACGCTGTCTGGGCGGAGGTTGGACGACCGGAATCCAGTATGCCTGATGTTGAAGTTAGGAGTCACAGTGTAGAATGGATTAGAAGGGTCTGGTGCAAGGTAACCGCACGCCCCCTGGTGTTGCGCACCAGCGTTTGTGCAGCCACATACCAGGACGCTGATGCAGCTTCAGTAAAAAGAGTACTGGATACCAGAAGCCATTACCAGACTGATCCGCAACTTGGAACAGGATGTGACATTCACTGTAGTTGCTGTGCGCTCTTTTGGCATTCTCACCCTTTTGCTGCTCGCCTGTCTTCAGCCTTCTTCAACTTCAGCCTTCTCGCTCACCGCCTCATGAGACTGTGCGAGCAGCAGCAGACGATAGTGGAGTTTCAGCTGCAGCACGCACGGGTCAGTGACTCTGCACCAGACTTCCCTCCAATTGATCAGAGTTAAAGGATTTGAAGTGAAATCATTACAATTACAGGGCCTCTAAAGAGTCCTGCATTGTTATTTGTCGTCACTACCTTCCCGCATCAGGAGTGGGTCATTTGCACGCCTGCTGCCTTCCTTGCATATGGTAGCCGTTTCTCAGGGTCCCTGTATGGAATGGAAACCTGATTCTCCGTTACCCGTGGTCACCATGGTAGGCGCAGAAACTGTCATCGAAAGTTGATTTGGATGACATCCAAATGCTAATTCGCCGTCACGGGGATGTGCGTCTGGTCTGAGGTTCTCTAGAGTCAACAAAGTGCCTGTGCAACTATAATGTCAACAGCTACTCTGAGGAACATTATATATATATCAGTGTTGGCTACCTCATCCTCTTCCTCCACCGCCGCTTCCACCTTCACCGCCTCCTCAACCTGTGAGTCACTTAGTATAAACTATGTACACAATATAAGAGGCTTGTGAAGGTCTTTTCTCCATGCATCAGGAGTTGAGCATTTCTCCATGCATCAGAACTGCAAGAAATGCACCGTAGGCCGCAAATGTTTCTTTTTTTGTACGTCCCAATATTTTGTGGGCTACCACAATAATAATAATTAAAAAAAACATTAAAAAAAACAGTATTGGCTACCTCATCATTCTCCTCCACTGTTGCTTCCACCTATGCCGCCACGGCCACCGCTTCCTCAACCTATGGGTCACTTAGTATAAACTATGTACACATTAGCAGAGGCTTGTGAAGGCCTTTTCACCATGCATCAGGAGTTGAGCATTTATCCATGCATCAGGACTGCAAGAAATGCACCACAGGCCGCAAATGTATCTTTTTTTATAAGTCCCAATATTTTGGGGGCTACCCCAATTAAAAAAATAAAAATATCATCATTATATATATATATATATATATATATATATATATATATATATAAACATAAACACAGTTTTGGCTACCTTCTCCTCCTCCACTGCCGCTTCCACCTACACCGCCATGGTCACCGCCTCCTAAACCTATGGGTCACTTAGTATAAACTATGTACACATTAGCACAGGCTTGTGAAGGCCTTTTCTCCATGCATCAGGAGTTGAGCTCAGTTTGAACAATGAAAGAGAATACCCTGCACTCCAACCCTCTCTCAAATGGATAATTCTGGTGATCCTCCTGACAGCCATGCTTTAGATTTTGATTTATGTTCTTCCAAAGCTAAAATCAAAGATTCCATCTAGTGCTATTTTATGGCTCAGCTGTATTTTTTATTTTTATGTTATTTTAAGTGATTTCCCTATCCACATTTCTTTGCAGGGCACTTGTCCTACTCTAACCCCCATTTTACTTGCTTTTGCAGCTCTCTAGCTCTTTCCAGGAGTTTTAGAGGCATTTTTGTGCCCAAAAGTTCAGGTCCCCATTGACTTCAATGGGGTTCGGGGTCAAGTTCAAGCCCGGACTTTTTTTCAAAGTTTGTCCAAACCCACCGGACCCGAACATCCAGGTGTTTGCTTAACTCTAATCAAAACCCTCCATGAAAATTCACACTTAAAAACCTGAACTTGTCACGTCTCTTTTACAGCTCTGTAACTTCACAAAATAGTGTCTAGGTCATACATTGGGCATATTGTTTTACTCAGAAGATGTAACTGAGCATAATTTGGGGATTTTTATGACAGTGGTACATATCAAGCGTAAGAGATACTCAGCAAAAATGCAACATATATGTAAAAATGCAATTTTTTCCCCCCTCTCCACAAACATTGACATAAGTTGGTGAAAAAATGGTGGCACATTAAGGCACAATATACACCATATTAGATACCCTAGGGTGTCTGCTTTATCAAATAAAAGCCCTTTGTGGGGTTATTTGAACAGTCACACTGCTATAATACCCTAAAATGAGACATAGGCCAATCAAATCCATCTAGGAAAATTCTAACTATAGAAACTGAAATAGCCTTGTCTCTTATTTGGCATTGTAACTTTACAGAAAAGTGCCAAAGGCATACAATGGGGGCATTGTTATATTCAGCATATTAGGCTAAACATAATATGGGGTGCAGGAATAGCACACACCACCTTTCCAAAATACACATTACAAAAACCTTGTTATATGTGTATATGCCAAAATAAAGAAAAAACACAATTTTAATAATATTTAGCAGAGATTGGCGATGAAATGGTTACGTAAAAAGTGTCAAACTAACCTTTGGTAAATAGCCTGTGATGTCTACTTTATATAAATATATACTTTTGTGTGGCAATTTTGTTTTCTGTGGTGGCTACTAAACCTACAAGACAAACATACCAAATTCTAAAATTGTTTCACATTAAAATTTTATTTTAGTCCTTGTATTTTGTGACCTGTAACTTTCAAAATAAGCTGAAATCCTATACATATTATGTATTCTATAAATCAAGACATGTAAACAAATTTATTTTGAATTACTTTTTCTAAGCTGGATATATTATGCACACGCAATTTTTTTCCATTTTGGCCTATTTTTATAATTAATGAGAATTTATCTATGTATATGTGACAAAAAAATTAAAGCCCTGTTTGCCCTCTGAAAAACGGTATACAATATGTATTGTTGCAATAAAGGACAGAGATGCAAATTGCGTTTGAACACAAACAGCAAAAGATGCAAAAATGGCTTGTGTCCTTAAGGGTAAGACAAGCTTTTGAAGCTGTGTCCTTAAGGGGTTAAGTGGTTAAAGCCAGTGAAGATGAACATAACAAAAACTGCCATGTTTTACATTGCAGGATTAAAAGGACAGGGCCACTGCATGCAGACAACTTCCTTGAGAATTAATTTTCATTTCCAGTCATATTATATATATTTTTATTTCCATATATAATTTTTCCTATATTGTTTTTAGGTTTATTTATTTTTAGTGTTTTTTTATTTTTCATTATTATTTTTACTATTATTTTTATATCTTTTTTTATATGTATTGTTATTTTTATTATTTTATTTTTATTATTTATTTTTATATTTTTTCCACTTTCTATTTTTTTCACTTTCTGCACTTTACTCTGTTGTATTATATATAAGTTTTTTTCCTCCAACATTTTCCACCCCCTGAGTATGTCTTAATATATCGCTTGTTCAATTTCACAACCCGGAAATGTTCTATGTGTTCCAACATGAAAAGCAAGTCACTACCAATTAAGTCAATCACGCGCATGTGATGCCTTTACACACGGAAGTGGCTACCTGTAATCCATGGTGCAATGCACGCCGGTCCAGATGCCGATCATCGTTCTCAATATCTACTGGTATATAGGAAGAGTCTCTCAGAACATCTACATTGATCCCTGAAGAAGTCCCAAAGGACAAAACGCGTAGGACTTTTGGATATTTTCATTATACTTTTACTTTTCTGTTTTTATTTTGATTTGTAATCTGTCACCCTGCATGTTTATCTCTGGAGCTTCCTGCTATTCGCTGAAGTCTGGTTATCATGCTGGTTGTGGAGATACACTTGATTTTATCTACTATCTTGTAAGTGCAATATTGTGCAATACGTTTGTAATTTTTTATACCATCTGCACTATATTCTTTCCTTTTTTCCACTATCCTGTGCCATCAAGAAGATTCCTCTGAAGAACATTTATCTACACTTCTTGACCCTAATTGAAAGGGAGACATGCCTGATTATACATCTAACTAGTGAATTCTCTACCACCCCCACCCTGAGACATATATTTAACATACTGCACCATATATATTTTTATTTATTATGCAGAATATCTTTTGACTATTTATCAGGCTGTATATAACCTTCATTATTCACCTAATTTGGTGTTTTTTACATTTTTATTTCAACATCTCATTTAGCCCCTTTTTGGTTTTTACTTTACTCTGAGTGTCTATAAGGGAACACTTTTTTTCCATTGAGGGTCTATCTGTGTTTTGGAGCATATAGTGAATTGCTTGTCTGTGTACTGTTTGAGTGAATATGTAGTTCCTTTAATATGTTTTATTCATCGTAAGACACATATCAAGATACATCTTCTAATTTATGCAGACATCAACATTCACCAGCACCACTGACCTTGACAAGTTGGCAGGTCCGGTTTCCACCCATCTTGGGTGCAAATACTTGTTCTTTGTCCAATTCTTTGAAAGTTGTCTTGACAAGAGAATTGAACTTCCTTGCCAACCACATAACTGGGATAATGAGGACTTCTTATGAGATTTATATTTGGAATAGTACAGACTGTGGGAACAAGAATGATTACAAAAACAATCAAATCAGGCCCATATATTTTTGTTATTTGTTTAATAGTTTTATTTACCTACATGAATACCTCTGTCTTATCTATGTAATTTTAAATAATTCTACTTGTTTTTGTTTGAATGGCACTTAAATCAAATGTCCAGATGCATCTCCCCCATCCCTTAGCCCATCTGACCCTAATATATCTTTCTCTCCCTCAGCCTGATTTTAAAACTTACCCAGCCCAGCAAACAACTAAGAGCTCCATCAGCTGTCCCACTGCCCTTTGCAAGAGGTAGCCTTCTGGAAGACTGTTTCCACTCCCACCCTACCCCCACTTAACGCAAGCTAATTTCCTCATTTATAGATAGTCTCCCACACAACTTTCATTCTTCTGAAATGACAGGGGCAAACACTGATCAGCACACCCTTCCAATATCTTAACCCTATAGAATACATACCCTCTCTCCCTACAAATAGCTATATATCACACATCAATAGTATATACTTTTCTACTTTTTATGTTACTTGCCCTTGCAAATAAAGTGGAGTCTAACCCTGGTCCCCAAGCTAATTCTAGTCCTAGTCTCCCCACTAAAAAAGGCCGCTCTTTTATGCACTGCAACATCCGTAGCTTGCTCCACAAACTGGATGCACTGTAAACCTGGTGTTCATTACAAACCAAAAATTATTGTGCTCTCGGAATCCTGGTTAACAACTAAAATACTAGACTCTGCAAATTGCAATACAGGGTTATTCAAGTTTTAGAAATAACAGAGCAAAGAGAGGAGGAGACATTGTTATTTATGTCGACAAGTCTTTAAAATTTACTCCTTTAACACCTTAAGGACAAAGGCAATTGTACAAGTTGTGATCAAAACAAAACGTAAACAAAAAGATGAATTTGCGTTTTATGTCTGTTCAGGTGTAATTCACCTCTTTCATATTATGTGCACCCACCCTTATCATACATCATTTTGTTCAGGAGAAACAAGGCTTTCATGTCACATCAAATATTTGTATATTAAACATAAATTAATATGAATAAAATGTAAAATCATTGAGAAATGTTATTTTTTTAGTTCTGCATGGCATTTAAACAGTGAATGTCACAATACTGTTGCTGTTACTGCAATAAAGTACATATGAGTAGAATGCTCTCCCCTGCTGTTCCCACCTCCTATAACCTCCGATCCAGTACTA